CCATGAGCTCAGTCACCAACACAATGGGGGCTGGGGTGGTGCTCAGTGTGCAAGGATGGCCAGTGCTCCAGCCAGGGGACACAGTGGGCATCCAGCCACCTCCACCCCCACAGGACTGGTCCCTGGGGGTCTCGAGATGCAGCCCAAACCCCCGGAACCTGGCCCAACTCCTGGCGCTAAGATGGAAACTTCTGCAGCAGCCAAGTCTGAGTCTTGGCCAGCGGCCCCCGGCCTCCCAGAACCTCTGCCCTGGAGTCTCCACCCGAGAACAGATCACTCCCTTTGGGAGCAGTGGCCTCCCGGGGAGGGCAGGGGGCCAGCCCCCGGGAGGACAGGGGTGGAGCATGGTACAGTCATCCAACCCCACTTTGCAGCTTTTTCCTTACTTGTGACCTTAGGTTAGCGGCTTGACCTCTCTGATCCCTGAGTCTCACAACCACCAAGTGGGCACAGAGCAGGCGGAGGTGGGGGTGAGTGTCGCCAGGAGTTACCTGGGGGAGATGTTTGAGGAGACAGCGAACGAGTGGAACTAATTTCCAAGCAAACACCAGAAAGGGCAGGCAGGCTTTGGGGTGTGGTTTTCAGCCACCCCTGCATGGTCCCACCCCTGCCTCGGCCTGGACCCTGATGCCAGCAGGCTTGAATCAGTCAAAGAGGTCAGGTGCCTGGGCCAGACACGGTGGCCCATGCCTGTAATCCCGGCACTTTGGGAGGCCGAGATGGGAGGATCGCTTCAGCCCAGGAGTTGGAGACCAACCTGGGCAACACAACAAGACTCCATCTCTCTAAAAAACTAAGAAATTAACTGGATGCAGTGGTGCACATCTGTAGTCCCAGCTACACGGAGGCTGAGGTGGGAGGATCGCTTAAGCCCAGGAGGTCGAGGCTGCAGTGAGCTATGATGGTGCCACTGCACTCCAGCCTGGGTGACAAAGTGAGACCCTGTCTCCAGAAAGAAAGAAAGAAAGAAAAAGGTCAAGTGCCTGTTGGTGCCTTCCTGCTCCTCTCTGAGCCTCAGTTTCCCCATATCTGTGCTCTGGGAAGACCACAGATCCTGCCCATGGGCTGCACTTGAAGAGAGAAAGGCTCAGTACTTGGCGACATCCGGCCCGCCCTGCGGCAGCCCAAGCCTGGGACAAAAAAGATTTAAAAATAAAGCATTGTAAATGCCCGTGTTTCCTGCAAATAGAGCCAGCCTCTGAATTCCCTGGCCTCCCGGGCAGCCAAGCCCAGACAATTTCTTGGAAAGGGATGGAATTCAGAGGACTGGTTTTTTAGTTTTTTGTGGGGGGACAGGGTCTCGCTCTGTCACCCATGCTGGAGTGCAGTGGTACCATCATAGCTCACTGCAGCCTTGACCTCCTGGGTTGGGGTCCTCCTGCCCCAGCCTCCCATATAGCTGGAAATATAGGCGTGTACCACCACGCCTGGCTAATATGAAAAAAAAATTATTTTGTAAAGATGGGGGTCTCCGGATGTTGCCCAGGTTGGTCTCGAACTCCTGGCCTCCATTGATCCTCCTGCCTCAGCCTCCCAAAGCCCTGGGATTTCAGGCATGAGCCACCATGCCTAGCTCACAGACGGGTGTTCTTAATGCAGAGTCCTGGTCCCTGGGGTTCCTTTCTGGGATAGGGGGTGGAGGAATCCTGGAGGGCCCCGTGTGTCCCTGTGCATCTCAGTTCCTGGCTTCCGTGTGGGTCAGCGAGTGTGATAGGGTGTCTGTCACCGCCTGTCACAAGGGGTGAGATAGTGTGTGGGTCGGTGACAGAGAGAGTGTGCGGGTGATTTGGGAGGGTGTTAGGATGAAAGGAACTGTGTTTCTGGTGTCACCACACGGGGCTGGCCCTGAGCAAGGCAGGGTCTCCGTGTCCCCAGGTACGACGGGGTCTCTGTCCACGTGTGTGGGTGTTTCAGCTTGTGTGTCCCTGACTGGAATGGCTGTAGCTGGGCGTGGGTCCTCGCGTCCCCACCTCCTGTGTCCCGCCCCGCCCCCCACGTTGGCCCCGCCCCCACCTTGCCCCCGCCCCTAGCGTCTCCCCCCAATCCCAGAGGAAGAACCAAGTCTTTCAAGTTGCTGTTGCCGGGGCAACCGTTTTACAAGCGTCCACATGGTGGGCACATGTGTGTGTGTCCTGCTCTCCATGTGTCTGCTCGACCCCCGCCCCCATGGCCCCTAGCCGCGGCGGGGAGGGGGGCACAGGCGGTGTGGGGTGAGCGGGAGGCAGCCGAGGGGCAGCTGGTGACAGCTTAATGATGGAGGGCTGGGGTGGGGGTGGGCTCCTGGCCCGGCTGTGTGTGTGCAGGGGTAGCTGTGCCTCCCAGACGGGGTCCGGGATGTGTGTGTGTGCGCTAACCAGTGCCAGGCAGCATGGGGGTGTGTAAGGATCTGCTAAGAGAGTGTGTGTCTGTGTGTGTGTGTCAGGGGCTGAGTGAACCCCAGGTCTGTGGGCATGAGTGCATTCAGAAGGGCGTGGGGTAAGGAAGGACGCCCGCAGGAGAGTGTACGCGTGTCCTTGTGAGATACCCGTGGAGGGGTTGTGTCAGCGTGTGTCTGCGTGTGAGGACCCGAGGGTGGGGCAGGGTGTGACTGTGCGGGAATGTCTGTGCTCACTAGGGCGTCTAGGTTTGTGTGAGAAGGAGAGAGAGGCCGGGCATGGTGGCTCACGCCTCTAATCCCAGCACTTTGGGAGGCCGAGGCGGGCGGATCACGAGGTCGAGAGATCGAGACCATCCTGACCAACATGGTGAAACCTCTCTACTAAAAATACAAAAATTACCTGGGCGTGGTGGTGCGCGCCTGCAATCCCAGCTACGTGGGAGGCTGAGGCAGGATAATGCTTGAACCCGGGAGGCGAAGGTTGCAGTGAGCCAAGATTATGCCATTGCACTCCAGCCTGGGCGACAGAGCAAGACTCCGCCTCAAAAAAAAAAAAAAAAAGAGAGAGGTGGCAGGGGGTGTGACCCCACCAGGAACAAAGGTTTGAGGGTGTGTTTTTGAGGTCAGGGTGTCTGTGTGTCACTGTGAATGGGTTCCTGGGAGTGAACATTTGGGAACACCCGTAATCCCAGACATTGGGACATCATTCCCCACTTGCCAGGCTTACTCACTTATTCACATTTACTCATTACTTATACAAGCTTATTCACACTCATTCAATCCTTACTAGAACGCAGCGAAGAGCTACTAGTAATACCCTGTTACAAGTGGGGAAACTGAGGCACGGGGGGCAGGCCCAAGGCCACACAGAACACAGATCCCTGTTATCTTCCGTCCTAGATCTGGGAACAGGCTGCCACTTCTCTGACACAGGCCCGTTCTCTCGTCCCCCCACCCACAAACTCACATTCCAGCACGCATCCCGCGCACGTGCGCAGCACCGCGTGCATCAGCCCGCGTGCAGCAGGAGGCGAGGCTGCGTGAGTGTCCCCATCACCGCGCGCACTGCGCAGCCCCGCAAGTTGTACAGGCCCTTTGGGGGGACGCGCATGTGTTGGCGTTAGGGATCTTCTAGGAAGGCCTAATCTGCATGCGAACCCCCAGGCTGCTGGAATCAGAAAAATGCAGGCAGCCAGGGCGGGAGTGAGAAGGAGACCCCAAGAACCCAGGCGGCGGGAGCGAGAAACCAGAGCACCGGGGCCCCAAGAACGCAGGCGGCGCGGGGAGGAGTCTGCAGGGCGGGAGTTTCTCGGTCACCCTGAGGGGCGGGAACCCGGCCGCAGCAGTCCCAGCCCCGCCCATCCATCCCAGTCCCACCCCCCGAGTTAGCCCGGTGCCGCCAGGGGGCGCTGTGGGAGCGCGTGGCCGTCGGGGAGGAGCCCGGGTGGGTTTGGGTTCCCCGGCCCGCGAGCTTTAGTGCCAGGAGGGGGCGCCGGCGGGAGCTAGGAGCGAGAAATCCCCTGTAGGGCTCTGAGGCCACACTGGGGGGACTTGCTGCTTGATGGGGGGCGCTGAGGACAGCGGGTGTTGTCATCCGTCTGAGCGGAAGACTGCGTCTCAGTTCCCTGGAAGAGCTTTATTGGGAGGGGGCTTCTTCAGCTTCTGGGGAAGGAGGACGTGGGACAAGATTGGAGGGGGACACCCCGATCCTCAGTGGGGTGGGGAGAGCTGTATGCGGGGGCCACAGCTGTTGGGGTGGGGACCATGGGTCTTAGTTCGCCAGAAGGGATCGGGGGGCCGTTTTGGGGCTTCGGATTTAGGCAAGAGGAGCGGTCGGGGATCCCCGGAATGAGGATGGGAAACAGCTAGTTGCGGGGGGCGCCACTCTGGGGGCTTCCCTTCAGGGGCTTTCTTAGTGAAGGGACTTCTTGGCACCTCGTTCTCCGGAAGGGGACATGGGACCGGTTTGGGAGGTCTGGCAGAGAGGTCAGATCCTCGATAGAATGTAGGGGGCGCCGAGGGCCACAGGCACTGGCGTCGGGACAGCTGCGACTCTTAGACACTTTCGGAGGGGGTGTCTTGGGGTCCCGGCTTTCCCAAAGGGGCGCCGTCGGGGTTCCTGGGGCCGGAGGAGAAAGCCGTCTAAAGGGGGCTCTGTGGTTGGTTCCCGCGCCTCTGCCACCTGCGCTCCTCCGGTCCCCCTCCGGCGGGGACGGGGAGGGCGGGGAGGGCCGGGGAAACCCGAGCCACCGCCCCCAGCCCCGCCCCCGGCCCCGCCCCCGGCCCCGCGCCGGCCGAGCCGTCCGCGGCGGGAGCGGCGGAGGCGGCGGGAGAGCGCGCCGTGGAGCCGCTCCGAGCGCCCAGGTCCCTCGCGCCGCCGCCCAGGAGCCCCGCGCTGGGCGCCGAGGCCGCTTGTGCCGTCCGTGCGCCCCCGCGCCCCGCGCCCTCCGAGCCACCGGCCGTCCAGGGCACCCACCCCCAGCCCCAGCCCCCGCCGGGCCGGGATGGCCGCAGCCCGCGGCTAAGCGAGCCCGGGGGGGCCCCATGGGCCGGCCCGCGCCGCACCCCGCCCGCGGCCGCCCCCTCCGGCCCGGGCCCCCCCGGGCACCGCGGGCCCAGGCGGCCCGGATGGCGGTCGCGGCGGCAGGGGCAGGGGCTGGGGCCGGCGCGGCCGCCACTGACGGGTAGTCCGGCGCCCACAGCAGGTAAGCAAGGGGCAGGCGGGGCAGGTGGGGGGTAACGGGGTACGACGGGGACGACCCGCCCCATGGACGGGGCATGGAGGGTGCTGAGGACTCCGAATAGACCAGGGGATTCCCTCCTGCAGCAGAGCCAACGGGTATATGAGGGAGGGGTCAGGGGGCGACAGGTCAGCGCGTGGGGAGGGGCGGGCGTGTGGAGCTAGATCCTAAGCGGCTCTCCAAGCCCGAATCCGGCCGCGGTGTCCTTGTCCGACGGGACGGGCGCAACCCTGCCTCCTAAGACCTCCGAGTATGCATCTGAGGAAGGCACAGTACCCTCCCCAGAATTCCCTCCTCAGCCTCTACGAGGGCGAGACCCAGACACCCCTTTAGCCATGTGGTCTCCAAGGGGCCGCTGGGGGGCTTCCGGATCCCTCAGAGCCCGGGCGGGGGGCTGCCGTCGCGGCCCAGCTGCGCGCAGAAGTAAACATCTGTCAGTGGCGCGTTCCCTGCTCGCCGCCGCCGCCGCCGGGGACACGGTGTCCTCCGGTGAGGGCCGGGCCCTCTGGTCTCCTGGAGCAGCCCGTTCAGCCACCAGAGGGCGTGAAACCCTTTAGAGTGTGTGGGGGGGGGTCTCTTAAGGGCAAAGCCTGGATTTGAAGTGGGGGGAGGCTGTGCCTGCCTTTCCTGCTTTTTATAAAAGGTGTCTCCTGCAGGGGCATAGCCCCGGATTGTCCCAGGAGGTGGTCTGTGGATTAGGAGTCATTAGGCCCAAGGGGGCTGCAGACAGATTGGTGGGGAGGGGGGTGTGCTGGAGAGAGAAATGGCTCTCCCAGGGTGAATGCCACCACTGCCCCCTCCCCAGAACGCATCCGTCCTGCCCACAGGCCTGTGGTTACCTGCAGGGCTGGTCATTGGTCCAGATCTGCGGAGCGGGGCCAGGGGTTTAAGTCAGGGGGTTGCAGGAGGCCAGACCCCTGACTTTCCTCCCTCCTGCCTGTCTCCCCTGCCCTTTCCCTGTTCTCTACATCCTTGTCCCTGTTCCATGGCCCTCTTTGTCTGTCTCTGAGTGCCCCGGGCTGAGGAAGCCTGGCTGGGGTGTGACCAGCCTCAGAGGATGTCAGTGTGGGGCAGAATCCCACCCACACTGCCAGCTTCTCCCACCCCCAGCTTCTTGCCTTGGGGCCCTTTGGACACCCCTCCCTCCTCCCTTCATCCTCAGACTCCCGAGGTTCACAGCTCCGAAGCCACTCCACCCCCAGGGAGCTGCAAAAAGCTTCTTCTAGGGGTGCAGGGAAGAAAATAAAACATTCCCCTCTTCAACTGGGTACTGCTCTGAAATTCCACCATCAGCACTGGCCCCCTCGGGTTTCAGGCCTCAGCTTTCAGGGAGCGAACAGAGGATACAGCTTTTAAGAGTCGGGCAGAAGGGACTCAAAAAGTTTGCAGCCGGGCATAACACAATCAAAAGATTGTTTTGACAAATGTGTGTCCGTGGCAACGGCGTGGTTGACTGGTGTCAGAGTTGTTGGGTGCTGTCCCTCAAGGGAGCCAGATTTAGACCCAGGGACACAGGGCTGGGGAAGTGCAGAGTGGGGATGGAGGGCTCTACCTCAGGGTAGGAGGATCAGAGAAGACTTCCTGGAGGAGGGGCCTCAGAGGTGGGGCTGTGAAGGATGAATAGGAGTTTTCTAAGTGGGAAAAAAAAAAGCATTCCAGGAGGCGGGAATTGTGCATGCAATGATCTGGAGGCATGGAATAGTCAAGGTGCCTTGGTGAGTGTGGGAGAGACTGTTCTAGAAGGTTGGCAGAGGAAGAACTGGGCTGGGGTACTCAAGGTTGTATCCCTGGAGGTGGGGGCTAAATACACAGATTGGAGAGGTGCAAGCTGTTAATGTATCTAGAGTCACTGGGCTGGGCTATCTTTGCTGGGGGGCTGTGGGTTTCCTCAGCGATGCATCTCCCTGGTCCTTCAAGGTGAGGCAGAGGCTCTGGGGCCTCAAGGTGGAGGTGGTGGCTGGGGCTCGGGGTTGGAGATGACAGGAGGCTCCCAAACCAGCCTTGCACTTGCAGGGCTGATAATGGCCTTGAAGGAAGCCTGAATAGGGAGTGGATGTGAATGGAGCATGTCTGCACGAAGGGTCTCTCAGAGATGATGATGGTGGAATGGAGGGGTCTCCCTGTCAGATCCAAATGAAATCAGGCTTCGGGCGAGCCCTGGAAGAAATCAGACAGCGGGCCCAGCTTGCAGCATGGCCCCCACTTCCCAAGTGGGGACACTGAGGCCCAGAGAGAGGGCACTGTTTGTTCTTAAATAGCACAGTGTGTCACGACCCAAGGCAAAATTTGAATTTGTGGAGATGGAAAAGATGATGGCTGAGTGCAGTGGCTCATGCCTGTAATCCCAACACTTTGGGAGGCCAAGGCAGGTGGATCCCTTGAGCCAAGGAGTTTCAGACTAACCTGGGCAACATAGCGAGACCCCATCTCTACCAAAAATACAAAAATTAGCCAGGTGTGGTGGCGTCCCCCTCTGGTCCCAGCTACTTGGGAAGCTGGAGTGGGAGGATTTCTTGAGCCCAGGAGGTCGAGGCTGCTGTGAGCTGAGATTGCGCCACTGCACTGCAGCCTGGGTGACAGCCTGGGTGACTCTGTCACCCTGTCTCAAAAGAAAAAAGACAAGATGATTGAGCTGACCTGTTTCCTGGGAAACTGAGGAGTGGTTCCCAGTCTCACCCAGTATTAGGGTTTAACCTTCATCTGGGGTCTGTGCCTCAGTTTCCCTTTCCATCAGATGGCCAACGTCTTGTGGTGTCCTGGCCGCTACCGGAGGACCCATGCCGCTCAAGCCACCTGCTGGGCCCTGTGCCAGCTGCTTAGCCATGCCAGGCCTCATTAGGCTGATCCTGTCATCCCACCCCGGGGACCCCCCTCCTGCCAGCTCCAGATGCCTTCGAGGCCAGCTCTGGGGCAGCCTGGCCAGCCCCAAGAGCCTGGTGTGGTCAAGGTGGCAACTATATAGCCAACCACAGAGGGCCAGGGCCAGAAACGGTGGGCCTAAGACGCTGGCACACACACGCTCCCCAGCCTCTCTCCCCAGACGCAGCTGGGTGGCGGGTGCAGGAAGAGAGAGCTCCAGGCGCCGGTGGGGGACTGCGGGACACTGACCCTGCAGGCCACAGGGCCCTCGTGACTTCCCACCTCATCTCCCTGTGCTGTCCCCTGGCTCCTGGAGCTCCAGCCACACTGGTCGTCTCGAACAGGCACGGTCCTGCCTCTGAGCCTTTATACATGCAGCTCTCTGCCTGGAACACACTTTCCAGATCTTCAATGTTGGCTTCTCTACTGTCATTCAGGTGTCAGCTCAAATGCTTCCTCCTCTGAGAAGCCCTCCTTGACTCCCCAGTCTAGAAGCAGCCTCTAGTCACTATGGCTTCATCCTGAGTTTTTTTGTTTTTTTTTTCCCAAGACAGGGTGTTGCTCTGTCGCCCAGACTATAGTGGCGCAATCATAGCTCATTGCAACCTCTACCTCCTGGACTCAAGCGATCCTCTTACGTCAGCTTCCCGAGTAGCTGGGACTACAGGTGCATGCCACCAAGCCCAGCTAATTAAAAATTTTTTTTTGTAGAGACGGGGATCTCACTGTGTTGCCCAGGCTGGTCTCAAAATCCTGGGCTCAAGCGATCCTCCCGCCTCAGCCTCCCAAAGTGCTGGGATTCCAGGCATGAGGCACTCTGCGCCCAGCCCTATCCTGGTTTCTTGTTGTTGTTGTTTTCATGCTCTTGACATCTAATTACCTTGTTTATTTCATATTTATTATCTGCCTCCTTGACTGGATGGTGAGTTTTTCCGGGAGGGGCCCAGGGTAGCCTTGGTTACCACTGAGTCCCTGGTCCCCAGCCAGGCCCTGGCACACAGTAGGCGCTCAATAAGTGTTTGTCAGGTTAATTCGTGTGCTGGAGGCAGAACCCAGCCTGGCACTCAGGACTTTCTGCCATTGGGGCCTTTTACTTGCTGGGTCTGCCCTCCTGTGTGTCTTTAAGAAAATCTCGTACCTCCCTGGGTCTCAGCGCCACTGTTCTCTCCAACAGCAGGGCCTAAGCCCCTCTCTCACCTCTCCTCTTGTTAACACAGGCCAGGAGGTTCCCAGGCAGTAGTTGTGGACTCTGGGAGAGAACAAGTTTGGAGTTGGATCCAGGTTCCAATCCCAGCTCAGACACTTAATACTTTTAATTAAAAACATTTTATTTTTCTTTTGTAAAGACAGGGTCTCGCTATGTTGCCCAGGCTTGTGTTGAACTCCTGGCCTCAAGCCCTCCTCCCGCCTCGGCCTCCCAAAATACTGTGATTATAGGCGTGAGCCACCACGACCGGCCTCAGCCACTTGCTTGCTGTGTGCCCTTGAACAAGCTACTTCTCTGCACCTCAGTTTCCCCACGTGGAAAACAGGGCTAGTAATAATAGCATGTTTTTCAGGGAATGTGGGAGAATTAAATGTAGGGAAAGACAGTCATCACAGTGTCTGCCTTTAAACAAATGGAATAGCCAACACTGCTGGGTGTTACTATTATTGGTGGTGGTATTGTTGTTGTCAGACAGGTCAGAAAGCACGTGGTTAAGAATATGGAGGTTATGGCCGGGCGCGGTGGCTCACGTCTGTAATCCCAGCACTTTGGGAGGCCGAGGTGGGCGGATCATGAAGTCAGGAGATCGAGACCGTCCTGGCCAACATGGTGAAACCCCGTCTCTACTAAAAACACAAAAATTAGCTGGACATAGTGGTGCGTGCCTGTAATCCCAGCTACTTGGGAGGCTGAGACAGGAGAATCGCTTGAACCCAGGAGGCGCAGGTTGCACTGAGCTGAGATCGCTCCACTGCACTCCAGCCTGGCAATAGAGCGAGACTCCATCTCAAAAAACAAACAAAAAAGAAAAATAATATATAGGTTATCGGTGGGGTGTGGCGGCTCACACCTGTAATCCCAGCACTTTGGGAGGCTGAGGCAGGAGGATCACTTGAGG